CGGAAGAAAGCTATTTTTGCCCTTCCCGCACAGGAAATAATCAAACAAATTCTGTAAATTGTCAGAAATCGAATTATTGGTTGCAATGAAGCTTCCTATAAAATTTATATATAGTAAAAGAAAAAGTAGCAGATGGCAGATGGTTGAGGAGTGGTTTGTATTATCGTAATCCAAGCTAGAGATGCTAATTAAATGACCGAATATAATTAACTAAGTATCAGATTTGGCTCGCTTTTTTATATTGATATACGTACATATGACCGTTATGAGATAAAGAAATACATAAGGGGAGATGAGACCTGAAAAGATACATAAATAGATACATAAATACACAAAGAATCATATATATATATATATATATATATATATATATATATATATATATATATATATATATATAGAGAGAGAGAGAGAGAGAGAGATTAGACTATGAAAAATACATTAATATATAAATACACAAAGAATTCTATATATACATATATATATATATATATATATATATATATATATATATATATATAGAGAGAGAGAGAGAGAGATGAGACTATGAAAAGTTACATAAATAGGTACATAAATACATTAAAGAATTATATATATATATGTATATATATATGTATATAGAGAGGGAGAGAGAAAGATGAGACTATGAAAAGATACACAAATAGGTACATAAATACAAAAAGAATTACATATATATATATATATATATATATATATATATATATATATATATATATATATATATATCAATCAACGTACTTTCACTTATGCTTTACTTACGGTTTAATGAGACTATATGAATTGTAACTACGTGGAAAGCGAAATTACAGTTAAACCTTTAATAAGGAATTGTTTTTTAACCTTTCTCTCTGTTTGATATTTAAATTTAACATTAAATGAGTTATTTATTTATTTTTTAACTGCATATAGCTGCAGTATTACTACCTATTGTGGCGTAATTTAATTGTGCTAAATTACAGTAGGTGGAAAGATGATGAAGTCTTTAATTGTTTGCTTTTTTTTTTAAAAAATAATTTAAACTCATTCATGCTTCGTTTTTATAGCGAAGGCAGATACCATTTATTGACAAGGGAGGTAACTGTGGATTACTCCACACCTGTTAATACAGGTTGTTTATGATTCTCCGAGATTGAAAAACGGATGGAAGGTAGGAAAAAACTAAACTGCGCTTTATTAGTCAGTTTAGTGCTATACGTGATACACGTCTGGGTGACAATGTATCTTGCGATACATGACTGACGAGGCAGATTTTTTCCTAGCAGTATGTTGCCATTTCTTCCTGCGGTAGAATAGTTGTCAACCAATGCTAAAGGTGTCCTGTTATTCTACTCATAGCGAGGGGTATGAGATAGATTTATACTTTTTCTAAAGCTATTTCTGCGCAAATGAATCTAACCTACTCGACTGAAATTCGAACTACTGCCTATCGAGAAAGAAGATGTCTGAAATTATGATAAAATTCGTTAATGTTTGAAAAATTATTTTTCTACGTTTAACCTGTACATTTACATTTTAAGATATTTCCACTTATTTATTTCTGCACGGATATATATTTTAAAATTTAACTGCGGAGAATATTTCAAATTGACCTCAACATTTTGTGCTGTATCGTTCTTTTTCAGTTCTGTTTTGTAAATGCTCACATAAAATAGCAAAGCTTCACATGAAAATAAGAAGTTGAACATCCAACTGCTTTTCATGCATTCCATATTTACGTAAGTAGCTAGAAAACTTACTGATCTATATCTTATTATATATATATATATATATATATATATATATATATATATATATTTTATTTGTTGGATAGATGTGTTATGTTATATGTTAGCTCTATCTCTGATATTGAGCGCTTTCTAATAAGTACAGCGCATATAATATATAAATAATTATACATACTTATATTTATTTATATTTATATACACTTTTCACATATATATATATATATATATATATATATATATATATATATATATATATATATAATGATATAATCCATGTATACTTTCTTAATATGTATATATAGAAAAATTTAAAACATTTCAAATTAAAATTATAATGTTTTATTTTATGAAAGTATTTATTTATTTATATATATTTGATATTTCAAATTGTCCTTTTCAATTTTTCATCAGAATAAATAAAACTGTTTGTTAATGAAAAATAAATTAAAATTTTAATTTATTTGTAACTGAAAAATCTGCGCTAATTAAAATTTCAGTTATTTCTGTAATATTTTTTTTAATTAGACGAGATATTATCAATTAATATTATTACTATTAAAACTAATTACTGAAGACTGACGGTCCGAGTAGATACGAAGGAATGTTTTTAATATTAAGAAGAAAATACTATTTCAAAATGAGTAATAAAAGAAAATATTCCCTTAAAGAAAGTAATAATTACTATGACTAAAATATAGCTTAGTGGATACATCCTCAAATCATGGATGTGAGGGTGGTTTACTATATATGTTGCGGTAGGTCGAATCAGCAAGTCTTGTTCAAATTCTGGGCTAAACTGTTTCGTACACTTTCACGCAAAAGCGTTTGGTAATGCCAATAACTCGTCTCTCTTCGCCCCCGCAGCTATGAGCCTTGACTGAGTTCTGTAGACCTGCCTAAGAGAAGTTCAAATTTGAATAAGAATAGCAGAAGAAGTCAATGAAAAGCTATCACTCTAAGAATGAATATTAATTTAAAGATTATAAAGAAAATGAATCTGTGGACAGCCATGACCACCTACGTCCAGAAGGGACATGGCTGAATAAAATTGTTGAATATGAATGAATTAATAATATATATATATATAAGAATATATATATATATATATATATATATATATATATATATATATATATATATATATATATATATATATATATATATATATATATATATATATATATATATATATACATTAGGTCGGACTATTGTCCTCATCTTTGTCGCCATATTTGTCACAACGTTTCGGCCGTTGTACGCTCCGGCCTTCTTCAGGTGGTTGGTTCAGGACACATGGCACAGTGGATAAAGGCGTTGGTTAGATCCAGTGACATACCCAAAGAAGGTGAGTTCAATTCCTGGTTAAGGCAGTGGAGAACTTTCAGAGGGAAAATTAGCAGGATAACTGATAACTGACATCCATCAAACATGGCATGTGGAATTAGAACAGTCTACCCCAGCGATCGAAATAAAGGGTTCAGTTCGAAATTCCAACCACCTGAAGAAGGCCGGAGCGTACAACGGCCGAAACGTTGTGACAAATATGGCGACAAAGATGAGGACAATAGTCCGACTAATGTAAATACTGTACATAATAATTCATCTCAGAAATATAGACATATATATATATATATATATATATATATATATATATATATATATCATCAGTCATATATATTAGGTTGTCACACAATGAAATGACGCATTTTATAGGGAATGAATAAAACGCTCTTAAGATGATGAACAACTAATTTATTTAGTTGATATATGAAATATGTTGATGTAGACTGTTCTCAAATGTACCCCTAAATTCTTGAACCCAGCTTTTAGAAAAATTCCCATCGTTTGATGTGATAAAACGTTCAAATACTTCGACTACGTCTTCCTTTATTGGAGAATGTTTTACTGCGTATGAAACGCTTGAAATGCCTGAATAAGAGATAATTAGTAGGAGAGATATCAGGTGAATATGAAGGATGGAATAAAATTGCATAATTCAGTCTATACAGTTTTTGGACAGTTGATGGAGAAGCGTCTGATATATATATATATATATATATATATATATATATATATATATATATATATATATAAATTTCTATATTTCGGAACCCAAAATGATGGCGGAACAATTTTAATTTCCGAAACATTGAAATCTTTATGTAGTTGTGCAAAATATTTTTAAGTAAAAATATTATTAAAATATTATGTTCAACGTTGTATCGAGTACTTTAAAAAAAAAAGCGAGTGCTGAAGAACTGTGGATTCTTAATCTTTCTCTGCTTTCTGCTCATTTGGCTATATACATACATACATACATACATATATATATATATATATATATATATATATATATATATGCAAATCGGCGTCTCGATCGATAATCTCACAACACCAATTGATAATCTGGTAGCTTGATTGGTTACCACATGCATTTATCGATATGAAAAGAATTATATATGTATTTATTAATTTATTTGTTAAGTATTGGGAAAAGATAAAAATCTCAGAATTTCCAAAAGCGTAATCGCCAGTATTAAGTCGAAATTGGCAGCGAAGATGAGTTGGGTTCTCGCCATGTATAAGTCGCCATAGAAATGAGTTTGAAAAAAGACGACTTTGGATTAGGCGTCAACAATGTGGCAAATTTAGATGAAGAAGCCTTATAGAATAATGAAAACAAATGACCGAGTGAAATCTCGAATCAATATAATTGATTTGCAGAAAATATCGGATATTATGAAACTGGAACTGAAAGATTCAAAACTTAAAGTTAACAAACAACTACTATGGAAAAATAAGACGAAATATTTAAATATTAAAAAAAAATAATTGATTTCAGTGAAGGAAAAAACATAGAAAGAAGAAACAGTAAAAAAATATGAAGAAATATTCTTTGCTGCAATGTGATATAAATATATGTAAATATATAACATATGGCCAATTGTATCGTTGATTTTATGCAGAAATGCCAAGGTTCTTCTTCATAGTCGTGTTCATTAGGGTTTGCTTTGAATCTTCTTTGTATTCAAAGGAGATAATGCTAATTTTTGATAGGCTTTAATTTATTGGGCGAAAATTGCGTCGGATGGAGGAAGCAACAAAGGCTATAAATGAACTGATGAAGACAAAAAAACAATTTTAGAAAATCAAAAACACAGCGGTAGAAACAGAGGCAGAGGATGAAGGCAAGAAAAAAAAAAAGAATGTAAGAAGTATATAGATAAAAATGAAAAAAAAATGTAGGAAATGAACCAAAGAAAGAAAGAAAGAAAGAAAGAAAACTGGAGAAAAAAACAAAGAAAGAAAGAAAGAAAGAAAAGAAAAAAAGAAAGAAAGAAAGAAAGAAAGAAAGAAAGACTCAAAATAAACAAAGAAAGAAAGAATGGAGTGAAGAAAGAAAGAAAGAATGACTCGAGAGAAAGAAAGAAAGAAAGAAAGAAAGAAAGAAAGAAAGAAAGAAAGAAAGAAAGAAAGAAAGACTCAAGAGAAAGAAAGAAAGAAAACTGGAGAAAAAAGAAAGAAAGAAAGACTCGCGGTGAAGAAAGAAATAAATAAATAAATAAAGAAAGACTCGAGATAAAGAAAGAAAAAAGAAAACTGGAGGAAAAAAAAGAAAGAAATAAAGAAAGAAAAACACGAGATAAAGAAAGAAAGAAAGACTCGAGATAAAGACAGAAAGACTGGAGTGAAGAAAGAAAGAAAGAAAGAAAGAAAAAAAGAAAGAAAAAGCGGCGACAAAGAAAGCCAGAAAGATGAACAAAAAGTTGAGATCAGTAAGAAGAAAAAGAATATTGGAAATAAAAGAAAAAAAAAAACGCAAAAAGAAAGTAATCAAGAAGAAAAAAAATATTCAGTAGATTGCGAATAAGAGAGCGAAGGAAAATTCGTGAAAAAAATCGAGAAGCGAATTAGAAAAGAGAAGAATCCAAACCTTGAAAGAAATTAATAAAAAAAAGAAAAGGCGGGAAAATTGAGACAAAAGGCGGGAGACTGAGGAAATGGGCGGGAGAATACGAAAAATAGGTAGGATATAACAGTTAAGAAAAACCGCATTGTTGATTATGAAGTATTGACTGGAGAAGAAGAGTAAATAGTCAGAGACATGAAAATCAGACCAAATGAAGAATATTATTTGCTTCTAACTTTTTTCGATATATTAACCGACTTTGAAGTTGATTAATTGTAAATTGATTCGATATAAGAAATATTGAAATTGTATATTCAACCATGTAATATGCACTTTGTCATAAAAAAAAATCATGAAAGGGTTTCTGTGCACTATGCCAAGAAAGTCATTGGCTGGGTAGGCCAAGAGGTAAAGGTGAATGCCTCTCACGCATTCCTTTTCATTAGGCTGCCATCGATATGACTCATCTTGGTCATTAATGGGCAGAAATACTGTAATTGTGTGTTTAATCGATTCATTCCTTTCATCTCCTTGGAAGAAATTTCTAGAATAAAGTAAATCTCTTGTTAGCCGAGTGTTGTAGTGTGCCTTTTGCACAGGTAATTTAAGCGATGTTAATATACGGTAGCCAAACTTTTTTTCGAATATGAAGTTGAGGTTGATGGCAAGATCAGAAATTAGTAATAAATCGTCAGATAGCGTAAAATAATAATGATATATGGCATACCTAATTTCATTATCAGTGATTTTAAAGTTTAACATGCCTAACACAAGCCAACATCGACACTAAGACCTGGGAAATCGTTGTAGTATATCAGCCTTCATGGTGTCGGACCAATCGAAGAGAGACCGAAATTTTGGAGTTCAGCTGTCAACATGAAGAGGATCTGCGTGATGCTGCCAGATGCTCTTCTTTATAGTAGTTTTATCTCATATTCTCAGTAACCCTTTACGTCTTAGTGGCTTTATTGCCTTTGATCTTCAATCGTTATCATCAGTCTTTTCCAGCCTTCTTCAGGTGGTTGGAATGTCGAACTGAACCCTTTATTTCGCGCAAATAAGGACACATGGCAGAGTGGCTAAAGGCGTTGGTTAGATCCAGTGACAGGACCCAAAAAGTGTGAGTTCAATACCCGGTTAAGGCAGTGGAGAACTTTCAGAGGGAAATTAACAGGAGATAACTGATAACTGACATCCATCAAAGATGGCACGTGGAACTAGAACAGTCTATCCCAGTGAGCGAAATAAAGGGTTCAGTTCGACATTCCAACCACCTGAAGAAGGCCGGAGCGTACAACGGCCGAAACGTTGTGATAAATATGGCGACAAAGATGAGTACAATAGCCCTAATAATGTAAATAATGTACATAATACCTCATCTCAGAAATATAGACAGACTCTAAAGTTTATCCAATACAAAATTCATGAGCTACACAAGGTAATTCCTTGCTTTTATAATGAATTAAGTGTGATATGAATGGAAGATGTGGAAGGAAGGGATGATGATGAGGATGAGATTATACAGAGTGCCCCTCCCCCCCATAAAAAATTGACATCATTTTAAAAGAAACTATCTTGAAAACTACTAAGTCTAGCTCAATGAAATTGAACAGTTTAGGTTTTGAACACCATAAGTTTATTATGGGACCGATTTCATAAGTGTTTAATATGTGCACGGCTGTGACACGGAACACGTCAAGTCCGTAGTTAAGTTCTTATCAAACACGCTTTAGCATGTCTCCAGTAACATTATCCAGTGTGGAAGTGATTCTCTGCTTGAGTTCATCAATGCTAGCAGGAAGAGGGGGAACATAGACCAGTTCCTTCACATATCCCCATAAAAAAAATATCACACAGGAACAGGTTCGATGGCCGCGGTGGCTATTTCACCAGAAAAGTCTCTTCATCTCCACCATGACCGATCCATCTCTCCCGGAGATTCTCATTAAGATAATAAAAATAAAACATTAAAAATGAAATCTTGATCTGTTTCTATACATTTTTGAGAATTTTAACAAGAATTCTCAAAATTATTTTTTTGGACACCCTGTATAAAATTTGTCCCTACACCTGAAAATGTTAAGATCTTAGGGTTCAGGGAAGTACAGATGTAGAATTTAACTCCCCAAATTATTAGTTCTTCAAAAAAAAAATGCTGTCCATAGATTCCGGTCTGTCCTGCTATTTACCCATAGATTGGGGGCAGAAGAAGAGGATTCATACCTTTTCCAAGGGTATTATCACGTAAGTAATGGAATCGACTGGAATTCGAACTCGGCTCCCCAATTCCAGCAGCTATCCATTAATCCACCTTTCCTCATACAAGCTCTACAAACGTTTAAATGCAGCAACAATTGCCAAATTGAAGTTAAGATTAAAAACTAACTTGATTGAGAAAGATACCAAGAAAAATCAGGTAATATCATGCTTCCAAATTTAAAATTCAAACATCGAAAATAACCGATTTTAGAAAGCGTTGGAAAAATGAGGGATATTTCCAGAGGAGAAAAAAATGACGCCACAAAGAACACAAGAAATAAATAATATAGTGTAAAGTTTGAATCAAGATAGAATTATCTAACCATATGAAATAGTATTCAAACCTTGCAACATAGTGTGAACGCCATAACGGTAGCAATGGAAAATGAGAAAAGATTCCGAAGTGCAGGGGCCAAAATAAAAGTAGTTAATATTCCAAGTAAGTGTTAAAGCAAAAAGTGTTATCTCCAGATAAGAATCACTACCTCCATTAATATATGGCATAGCAATGAATCCAGAGTTGTATATTAACCCATAACCTCCTGCTGTCATTTAAAACTTTTCTCCAGTATTATACAGAATTTGCTTAATACTTGTATCTTCTTGATTTCAGATGAAAACATGGAAAGTTTATAACACATTTCAGTGAAACTTTCACTTTCCAAAATAATATTTTATCATATTCAACTTTATACTTCAAATCTGTACTGAAATCTTATTTACTATTTACTTATTTTTTTCAATAGTTGCAAAACATTCTCGCCTCTCATTCTATTCAGACACCTACCTGGTCTTTTGAACAGGAATAGAAGATTTACTACTTGTTTTCTTTTTTTGAATGGGTTTCGTGTTTCTTCTAATTTATTTTCATTCTCTTTCTCTCTCAGTAGCCTTTTGCGTCTTAGTGGCATTCTCACCTTTCTTGAAATGAATTGATTATAAAAAGATATATCGAAAAAGAATACTTCAGTCTAAATTTATACAAGGAAGATATTGGTCCACTATATTTAATTTATAGATTAAAAATGTTACAAAACAAAGTTGACACACCTAGAAAACGGTCAGAATCATCAGTAAGATTATGGGAATTAGACTTGGTATTGAGAATTATTCAATAATAAAGAAAGGCGAAAAAAAAAAAAACAGACGGCATTGAACCGCACATCGAGGATGAGATAGCTTTTTTAACGAAAAAAATGACTACGAATATCTAGGCCTTCTGGAATTAGATACCCGGAAGTAGGGGATGATGGGAAAAGTCAAAAGAACAAAAAATATATAAGAGACAAAAATCTGAGAGTAAATTAAAGACATCTTCTTGGAGCCATGTGTGAGAGTTGGATGTAGGTCGTGGACCAGTACACTTCGACATATCAATTCACCTGATTAAAGCAAGATCGATCGCTTCCCTGCAAAAGTACTACCACTGACGATATACCATATGTTGATTCTACGAGTGTCATTTACACAGCGAAATTTCATAGTCTGTTACGGGGGTTCCAAATTTGTAAAAAATTAAAAAGACCTTATGCAACTGGAATTTATAAACAGGGATCATATCATTCATATACAGGTTCGGGGTTGGTCTATCTTATTTATGTGTTTGCGACGATGTATTCTCGCCATTTTAATCATTAACCTCTATATTTGTTTTTTGTATTAACGATTCATGAATATATATATATATATATATATATATATATATATGTGTGTGTGTGTGTGTGTGTATATATATATATATATATATATATATATATAATTATTTATATATTATATGCGCGGTACGTATTAGAAAGCGCTCAATATCAGAGATAGAGCTAATATACAAATGTATATGCATAGAAACAACAGCACCCATATACATACATATGTCAAAATCCCATACTGTCCACATATGTTTATGTCTGTATGAGCCCCGGCGGACGAGCGAGTGTGTATGTGTATGTGCGTACCACAGTGGGTGTACAAACATGCATCTATGTTTACGTTAGCATGAGTGACATCATGACGACGATTCCCACCCACTTCCATAATAACACCAATACACGCAATCTACATAAACCCAAAATTTTTAAAAAATTAATCAGTTTTTCTGACAATCGCAAAAGCGTGAAACCCAGGGTCACAAACTCACATCAATCCAACCAAATATATATATATATATATATATATATATATATATATATATATATATATATATATATATATATATCCTCCTTTACGTTTACCCATACGGAATACCTAGTTTTTCATAAAAATATATAATATATATATATATATATATATATATATATATATATATATATATATACTTTCATGGTGAGCTCTTCGCTATGGTCACTAGATATTTTGATTTTAAGCGCAGTACTGACACTCAATTTACAGTTGTGTTGGCTAGAGGTAACCGCAGGTTCTATGCTAATAGTTTCTTTTCTCGCACTTCCGGCTGCGCACCATCGATTTAATCTTCCAAAATTCAAATGCAAAATACGCTAACTACTGTCCTCCTGATTGACCTCCTTAGTAATGTTTCTTCTTTCAAATTATCCCACACCGATTAACCCTTTCTGTGTTAGTAACCTTACTGCCGTGCTTGGGGCGAATTCGATTAATACATAAGCACGGAAACACCCACGCATTTGGCCGTTTTCAAAACGAGAATAAAAACATCCAAATCAAACATCCAGCTTCCCATTGAATACCAGAAAACAGACAAAGAAATTCTAACTACAACACAGACATCACGTCTATTCTTGATGATGACTGTGAAAGTCGAAAGTACTTTAACAAAAATAACAATAATTCACAGTAATTTGATCACAAT